TTTTTTTTTTTTTTTTTCTTCGGTGGTCGCTGCAATGATAACTCTTGTTTTGTTGGGGCATTCAGATAGGGGGACCCTGACTGTGGGAAGTGCGTGCCTTTGTACTATAGGCCTATAGGTGCCACCCGCACTTTCATGATGCTCGCAGGGTGAAGTGCAGGATGCCGGTCAGTGTTGAATTCCTTTTTCTTTGAAGCAGACATGTGTCAAGCTAAACGTGCACAAAGGTTTGATCAGAACACAGGAGGTGCGAGAGAGAGAGAGAGTCAGAGAGAGAGACTGTAGCGCATAGAAGAAGAGAGAGGTAGTCCCCCCTTAAATCCTAGTCAAAGGCAATGAAGTTGGGTGTTTCCCGGATTGCTATCGCTCTGCTAGTCAGTTTGCTACTTCCTGTCAAGAGCATCGCGATTCTCATTGCTGTTCTATTAGTATCTGGGAATTCGGGTACCTGCATGGTCAATACTATGGGCTCTGAAAACGGCTTCTACTTTTGGCATCTTTTGGCTGTTCTCCTGCTTCAGTAAATTCTCTCCGACCCGACCCGGCCGTTCCCGCCGTTTTGGGTCTAGCTTTAGCTCTTCTTCTGAATCAACTGCTAAGCTCGACCCAACGTATTTCTGTTGATGAGGAAACCCTCTATCACCGCTGCCCTTGGCAGCACCGTAGTTCCTGATACCTGATGGTGCAAGATACATCCCTTCAGTCTCAGGTGGCCAAGGGCTCATGCAGCTGCTGGGAAAACTTGCAACGGCTGTGCAAGAGTTGGAGGTTTCTCATTACGCTGAGTTCCTTCTTGGTTGGTTATGGGGTATACGTACAGATATGAAAGGATCAGGGCTGATAAAGGGTTTGGAATTGAAGGGCTGTCAAAAATCGATCTGTTTCTAATCTTTTCAAAGCAAAGGTCCTTGTAGGAGGGGGAGTGGTTTAGGGTTTCATAGGATAATCAAAATATTGTAGGGAAGAGAATCTGACCCCACGACAGCGCGCATCCGACTGTCTCTAGAGGATTTTGATAATGGCTCGTGGAGAGTCGGCTTCTGCAAGGTGATCTAGATTTGCGGAGCTGCCATTAACATCAGAGTCATTGTCACCTCATGTGATTGTCACAACTGCTGCTGCTATTGCATAAAGTTGGATCCTGCTTCCAAGCTCTAGCAAAGGGTACTATTACTAACAATTATCAACATTTGGCCGCGGGCTCCTTATGTAGCTGTACTATGCTATAGTATATACAGGGAACCTCAACATGATATCGGTAACTATTTAAGTCCCTACTTGTTGCTGGTTGCAATGATTGCTGTCAACGCTGTGGTTCGCTGCAAACTTGTGCCATCCACCTGCTGTTCAAGGTTAGCCAGGGGTTGGGTATATAGGTTTTCTATGGGCTTATATAGGATTATATGGGTGTATAGTATAGAGGGTTATGACGGTCGTAAAGGACAATGGAGAATCAATTGGAGAAGAACATGGAACATGACATGGAGACCCTATATGACGGAATGGGTCCTTATGCTCGCAAAAAGATTTGTCTGGATCCCCAATGATCATGCGCAATAAGCATCCCATGGCCCCATGCCCAACTATAAGCATTATGAAATCGTCTGAAGTATTTTTGCACAAGAAATCAGTACTTGTGCTGTACCATAGTTTGCTAGAACTTATTCCACAAACTCCGAGCCCTGGGACCTTTACCCCATAACTCCAATCCCAAATTCAGAAATCCTGAACAGGTTACGCAAGCAGGGGTTGCCTTGCTTGTGCAGCTTTGCTTGACCTTGGTCGGGGCTGGGGTGTTCCTCCTCCTCAAGGACTGCCCTGGACATGGGTAGGTGATGTATGTGTCCGTGGCTTTAGGTTTTTCTGGTTCTGGGTTTAATGCCTGTTTCGAGTTGCCGTCCTTAATGAAGAAGAGTAACGCGGAATCCCAACTCAACGATTGCTAGCTGACCACTCCATCATCCAATCCAATTTGGATCTGGTGCCGTCCATCACCACCACTGCTTGGCGAAATGCATTGCCCTGGTGGCTGAAGGCTCTATTTTAAAAGAATGTACTCCCCAAACCAAAATAGAACGCAACCCCCTGCGTAGACCCTGCTTAAAATCTACAAGCTGCCCCACACCAGTTCCATATAGACTTCATCTTCATACACGTTGGCAACCCTGAGCCTTTCAGAACCTGCTGGATCATTATTCCTGGGGGAGAGCCATCCGCCTACCCTTCGGCCTAGCCGTCATCAGCTTGGTTGTCTACGCCTTCCTTTACCTTCATCCCCTCAGTGCCGAAGACCTGCACTTCTGGGGCCTCTTCATCACAGGATTCCAGCAGTGTCTTTTAAAATAGCTTTCCTATTTTTTCCGTCTTTGGCATTGAAGTCAACATGGAAACGCACGTCTTTACAGGGGCTCTGAGGAGCTAAGTTTGCTCTTCTGATGTTCTGTTGGGGTTCTGGAAGGACGAGAAAGGTTGGGAGCCACGAAGAAGATCCTGATTCTGCCCACATGTCCACTTGTTCTCGAGGAGACTGCATTGCATGACTTGGTATAGACACTACAAGACCCGCATAGCTTCCTGGAGCGCTGAACGCTAAAACCCGAACCCTGAGCGAAACTCTCACCTGCACTTCTCAAACCTCAGCCCATTGAACAGAAGAATTCCGCAACGGCATTTTTCAACTAGATCATTATCAAAAAGATGAAAAACTGCTGGAAACTGGAGTACTAGGGCTATGAGTGGGGGCACATCGTCATGAGGACCCCAAGAAACGGGGCTGAATTCGAAGCAATCCAACCAAGGACTTCGACCGGAATCTTGGAAAGTTGAGTTCCACGTGCTCGCCTCTGGCTTTGGAAATTTCCAGGCGACTAATTGCTTGGGATGAACCTGAGCCTATCATGGTTGCTAAGACAGGACCTGGCTTGGCGGTGGTTCGTTGTTCCCAAAAGAAGGACCCCTACCATCCCCAAGCGTGACCACAAAACTCTCAGCCATGAAGCCAGGCGCACGCCTTCTTTAGCCAGCCATGCATTTCCATCGTGGTGTCCTATGCGGTGCTGTCCACCCTTGCCTTCACCTTCTACACCGTCGGTTTTCAGGAACTTGCTCGGGATCCCACGATAGAGCTCGCGAAGGATCTCGTGTGTAGCATTAAGGGGTTTCAGAATGACAGCGTCACAATCCTGAAGAGGGACCACACAAATCCTTTTAGACTCCATTTCTATTTTTGTCGTTGCTCCCAGGTCTGGATGTTGGGCGCAACTTATTTATTTTCAGAGTCCCATACGGCATTCAACTTAACAACTGAAGTGTTGACCTCCGAGCAGCGAAGGAGATCCGACTCGTTGGGAAGACCAACATTGCGCTAGCGCCTTTTGCAGGCGTGCCAGTATCCCACGCAATTAAAGTCTGGGTAGTGATGCGAGATGCTGGGGCCAAGACTCGGTGGTGGGTCTTCCTCTTTGCAGTCTGCTACATGGTCCTGTACTTCGACTCCACTTTAAGGTCAACTCTCAGCCTCGTGCCGAAATGCGCGTTTGGGGCCTTGGTTTGCTCTTTAGGCTATGAGTTCTTGACCAACTCTTTAGTCGAGTCCCGGGAGCGGATTGCTGCTACAGAGTGGCGCGTTGTTGTTGTGACTTCAGTCATTACCTACCTCAACGTTCTGCTGGGCATCCTTTTTGGTGTTGTTCTCACCACCATCTTCTTCATGGTGGAATACTCTGGCATGACCGGTGTGACCCAAAAGGCCACTATAGCGGAGGTGCGATCTCACGTGGAGCGCGATGATTCACAAAACCAGATCCTTGACCGGCATGGACCAGATGTCGCTGTGTTCTGGTGTGCAGGTTACATCTTCTTTGGCACTGCCCAAGACATCGTTGAGGAGTTGCAGGCGTCCCTAGATGCATGCCCGTCTACTCGCATCATCATCCTGGACTTTGAGCAGGTGCCTGCTGTAGATGCTTCTGGTGTGCAAGCCTTGGTCAACTTTGCGGAGGTGTGCCAGAAGCGGCGACCATCGGTCACCATAGCGGTCAGCGGCGTTGTGCGACGCCTTCAGCTCTCTTTAGACAGGTGCATGCGTGCCTGCAACGTGGAGATCAAGATCAGCTCGCACCGCGTGGAGAAGATGCTGGAGTGGGCTGAGGATTGGCTCTTGGCAGGCCGTGCTAATGGCGCCAAAGGCTTGAAATCACAGCGCTCAGAGCATCAGCTCTTGGCCTCCAAATTGGCTGGCAAGGTGCCCACAAAAGAGCAGGACGAGCAGGAGCTCCGTCACTTCGTGAATGAGTTTTTGCAGGAGATCGCTCCTTCTGCCCAAGCCGAGGAGCGCGCGGGCGTTTGCGAAAAGCTGGCGAGGTTCGGCAGCAAGCTCAAGACTTTCACACGGGAGGCCCAGATTCATGCGGAAGGCCAACAAGCCAAGCACTTGACCTACGTGCTGAGTGGGTCAGTGAGCCTTGTACAGAAGATCAGCCCTGACGAATCTTTGGCTTACAAGGTCCCCCGGCACCACCTGAATGAAGAAAAGGGTGATATCTTCGCATTCGAGGAAGAACTGGACATTCGAGTTCGCAAGCTGACCCATGGCTCACTGCTTGGAGCACTAGAGTTTGGTGCTTTCTGCAACAGCACAGTGTCCACATGGCATGCCAGCGCTTGTGCATCCCCAGATTGTGTGGTACTTCAGGTGCCCTTTTCCACGCTGGAGGCTGCCATGAACTCGAACCAGTCTGTGGGGCATGCGGTGATGCGTTGGCTCTTCCAGCTTGCTTCTGTCCAGGTCTTGGATGTCCTGCAAGGCGTGCGCGTAAAGCCATACCGGCGCATAGACCAAGAAGGTGTCTTCAAACGTGCAACGAGTTCGATGGCCTCACCAGCCCTCAATGGTCAGACTACGCCATACAGTAAGTTCCTATAGCTTGATCAAGGTTGATCACTGAACTGCCGCTGTGGTACATTGCATGTCTTGGGACGCGATGTGCCGATCGAGTACAGCATGCAGCGGACAGCATTTAAATGAGCTAATTTATATCCACCAGAGAGGTTGCAACAACATGCGCATGACAGTTTACTGCACCTCCTGCAAGCACCAACTTAGTTGGATGCTTGGTTGTTGTTCTTAGTCCCAGCAGCCTCAGCACTGCTTGCGAAAATACATGTGATGTACAAAGCCCGTGCGGTCTGAGCAAGAGACTGGATTCCAGAAACCTGGAAGCGGCGCCAAAGCTTGTACAAAAAGGGGTGCTCCAATACTTCCGCTTAGACTAAGAATACAGCACGGCATTTCTCCCAAGTGCTGTGCATGGACAAGATCCTGCATAGCTCTACTTGGGTTTTTCCCCAATCAGTAAACCCCCTCACATACATAGAAGGAGTCAACCAATCACTTTGAGAACTCCCAACTATGGTTGTACAGTATGCCTGCAGTTATGTTACGCTTTGTTCCTCAACAATGTCAACCCTAATCCTGGCTTGGGGCCCTGTCTTGCATACAGTCACCCGACCTAGCAATGCTCTTCCAGGCACGAAAGTCAAAGGAGCGTACGGCTGCGCAGATTTTTGTGATGATGGCCATTGCTCTCCTTGGCGCTGCTAGCTGCTATTTCTTCTTTTCCTGCTACATTGTTGCAGCAGAAACAACGGCTACAACTGTTACTTGTTTTGTTAAAGCGGCTGCTGCTGCTGCTGCTGCTGCTGCCGCTGCCTCCAGAGACCGTTTCAGCATTACATCAGGCCCAGAGCTTGCTGCCTTCACGGAGTTCATGGAGGTGCAACGTGAACTTGCAGAAGCACTGGCAGGCACCGGGAAAGATGATGGCTTTCTTGTGTGGATCTCGCCAAAAGCAACAGCTGTCAACGTTCCGTCTTTGGAGGGGTGGGGACCGGCTCACCCCGTCGATCTAAATTAGCCTGCTCATGGCGATGTCAGGCATTAGCAGGTAAAGTCAAAAACTGCATGGTGCCGGTTTTGCTCAAGAACGGTTTTTGAAAGTCAGGTCTTGCTCTGTTCTGGAAGATCAAACTTTCCGCTTGGAGGTTGGTCGTTGTGGGAGTACGAGTTCGTGCATTGGCGCTACCAAAAGAGGCCAGCTGGTCTGGAGTCTAGGGTAACGTTTGGTTGAAGCAGGATCCCATGTGAGCAGCAGCCGAACCGCTTCAGTGAGGGGACCAGCATTTCAAAAAAACAGCTTGTAGCCTCAGCCACCGGTGCAGTTTCGCCGGTCGCCTCGGTGTATCTAGATAACGAGTTGGAAGTGATGGCGTGCCATAGACAGAGTCAACAGCAGACTCAGTAGATCGCATTTCGGGAGCCGATTTATTGACATAGGCGCTGCACGGAGGATCATAAAACGCATGGCTTTCTCAATTTACCTAGTACCATCCGGACCCTACGGCCTACACAAACATCAACGATCTTTCAAAAACACATGACAGGTTTTCTCCGAGGCTTCCGCATATGAAGAAAGGGCCATGTGTCACCCTGAGGCGTCATGGAGGAAGCGAGCACGATCAGCTCTACAACACCCACCGGTCGCGTTTGCCTTAGCGCCTTATGGGATGTGCCACCGATGGGTCGACATGGAGTCAGAGGAAAACTTCCGAGTTTGAGGAATTGAGGATGAGGCGTAAGATGCGCCCATGGCAAGCAGTTGTTGCTGGTAGAGTTGCGACTCTTTCATCGCATGTTGATTCCAGATGTTGTAAATTGTGTAGGCCCTATTGCTGGAGCCTTATCGTTCGAGGTACCCGTCATTCTTAGCTTGGGTGTACGCATTCATTGTATTGTTAAGCATTGTTGCAAGTCTCCGCTAGGCTTTGCCTACCGTATAGGGAGCTGCATGCGAGCCCCAGGCCCAATCTGGCTTACTGCAGTCCTTGAGTGACACTGCGGGGGCAAGGAAGGGAGCTCTGGCATGCAATTGCTTCATGATGGCCTTAAAGCCTCATTGTAGGTCCAATGAGGCGGAGGCGACCAGTTTCCTTGAATCCTGAGGCCCCAAATGCTTATTTCCTGAAGGTTTATGGCCCCATCAAGCCTGCCTGGGCCTATGTTATGCTAAGGCCGGAATACCAGCATTTGGCATGCCCTTCGGTACCCCTGGCTTATCGCTTCTGGTCAAACTTCCCGACATGTCTGGCACTTAGCTTCTCTCCGAGGTCAGAGGAGTTCTGCTTGCTGGGGGCTGGGGGTATGCTTTAAGCAATCCATATATTCACAGAGTACCTTTCAAGCTTCTCTTGTTTTGGAACCATGTGCCAGAAGAAGGCAGTGGTTCGATGATCTCTGCCCATGAGATCATTAATCTAAGTTCACATGACCAGCGATTCTCTTTTGAATCTTCAGTCTCTCCAATCCTCTAAACCGTATTATACTCAACTTTAAAGCTGCGGGCAAATGGTTCAAGGGTACTAGGGGCAAGATGCGATCGGCTTAGGGGTCGCTGGTGTGGGGATGGGTGAGGTCAGGGCTATATAGGATGCTGGTGAGCCCAAGGTCCCCCAACCCGCCTGAGAGACTTGGCCCGCTTTACCGTCGCTTGGCCTGCATTTACAATGGTCTGTCTATTGCGGTCATGTCATAGAATAACATGCTATGGAGGTCGTTGGTATACTAAAGGGCCCTGCAAAAGGCCGATCATTGTGATGAAACGCAACTTCCCGCGGTACTGCCCCCTGCTACTGCTACTGCTACTGCTACCGTCACTGATTCTTTTGTACGCTGCTTTAGAGTTACGGTTCTAATCAGAATTCCGACGCCAGGACGCACATGTGTCTGGCATGACCGTGGACAACTGGCGGGCACGTGGCTCAGATGTTTACTCGTTGGGCATAGCTTTAAGGCAGACTTCCCAAACCTTTGATTTTTGGGCTTTTGCCGCTGTGCGCAAAAATACCAGACAGACCCTTTCAGAAGTCCTGATGCCACCGATGTTCTTGCTTCTTTTTTGACACAGCTTGCCAATAAGGCGAACTTGAAAGATGCAGCCTTTTCCCGCCTCTCCCTGAACCCTCAGTACCTTTACTCATCTCTTCACTGTGCTCAGGCGAGTTATCGGGACTTTCTGAGTGAGGACTCTGACGCTGATCAGGGCATGTTATCGCATGATGTTTGGGCGTATCGTAGGGAAGGAGGGATTGGCCGAGCAGGAGTCAGAATAATGCAGCCCCATTTGCTACTAGGCAATGGAGTCTTTGGTCTCAGATTCGCGCGATTGACTCACGTTTGCTCAGCAGGAAGCCCAGGATTGGATCGGAGGATTGCTTTTGAAAATGTGTGCGGTCCCCTCGGGAAGCGTGGCCAGTAACGGCTAGCAGGGGCGTTGTGGTAGGGTTCAGTCGAGGTGTCTGCTGTCTGCTGGGCCAGCATCAGGCACGCCGTAGGCACTCCTCAAACTCTGGGTCCCCTATCCCGGTTATGGAATGGAGGCAGCATAGCAGGCAACACAGAAGTGCCGCAACTTCAGTGTCGCCTTGCTTTAGGATGATCCAAGCCATCACCCTTGCAGGTCCACAGCTTTCAAATGTAAATTGTTGCAAGAACACAAATGGCAGACCCAGGATAAATATTATCATTCATACTGATGATAGCCAAGTAGGTGATGCTTATCTTGTTTCAACGACGATGCGTTTTGAGATGATGCCTGTCAATGGTAGCGAGAACATCTTCTGGCGGTAACGTATCAGCATGTCAGCATTCTTGTGTATTTGGCTACATATACGGTTGTCTCGATCATTGCAGGAATGTCACAAATCTTCGTAGCTTCGAAGCTATCCCTACAACGCGGCTGTTCAAAAGCAGCAGGACTACAACTACAACGTTTCCCACTTTTCTGGCGGAGACCCGACATTTCGCCTTTCCAAGGCGGCCTTTGTGGTTGGTTGAAGGCTGATACTGTAGCTGCTCACTTTGAAGTGAAGCGTAGCGAAAGGTCGTTGACAAAGAGATAGTCGAATGCAGGGATACAAGACCAGCAAAAGCATTTCCATGCGAAGGTTCTTGCCACCGCAATTCTGCGGGGGTGCATGGGTTCGCAGGGAGTCTGGATAGCTTTGGTCTGATTACTAGATTGTGCGTTCCTATGTTGAGGTAGCTGAAACCGTCCCGCATATACTAACCGAGCTGCCTCCCTAAAAGAAATAGCCTCCGATCCTTGCATGGTTTTGAACAGGCGAATGTTTAGATTGGTCTCAACAGCAGAGTCCCCTATTTGCTCTCTCATTATTAGCTCCGACATCATGCGAGCCTGAAAACCTACCAACACTTGGAGAAGCTGATTTACGGCAGGCTCAAGCTTTCCTGCTAGCAGCTAGCCGTTTCAAAGAGAAAATGGGCTGCTGTTTGGAGAGATTTCGTCTGGATGAGACGATCCCGGGGATCCGACATGTGGTGATGTTTCTCGAGCCTCATTTTCAGACTTTCGAGAGCGCAGAACTGTAGAGCTAATTCCCGCAGCCATTTCTTCAAGGGTCTGCGATTTTTCCGGTGGGTTGCCTTGATGCAGCACTCACCTCACAATTGAATGCCAGATGTTAAGCTGATTCCATCATTGAGGGTGATCTGAGTTGGGGGCATGGCGCGCCTTCTGTTTGAAGGTACTGTTTCTGAGGGCCTAGGAGGATGGTAGCATTCATGTTCTTGCTGACTATTCATATTCATGAAGAAGAGAAGGGAAACTTTTGGATTACCAGGTGAAAAAAGAAGCCGGACACCTTTGAGAGTAAAACCAAGGACTTGTTTCATGTAGCCGGGGGCCTCTGCAGCCACGAAGTCATCGACAAAGGCCTCCCGAATAATGTCCGGGAGAGCTTCGTGTGAGCAATAGTGGCTCTTGATCCTTTAGCCAAGACTCTACCCCGTTTCCCGACCTCCATGCACGTGAATTTGATGAGGTTTAGCTTCAAAGAACATGTGGCAGCTGCCGAAGAGATCGCGCTGCTGAAGGCTATCAACACGCTGCCTCAGCTACTTTGCTGTCGCTTTCTAGCTTCCACCCTCAGGTTGAAGGAAAACCTGGCAGAACCCGTACCAGATCAAACAACTAGGCTAACGTGGCGAAGTGCCACTGCGTGATAGGGCTTCAGAGCATGAGATTGCATCAAGGGGGTAACTGCCTCAAGAAAGCTGCTCGCTCGAAACACGCTTTGTACCACAGGATTCTTACGATCAACACACCCAAACAGGAGTCCCAGAATCCTCCGGTCCTGAATCGCATGTGATGCTTCATACCTAATGCTAGCTGCCAGTTGTTTTCTGCCAAATTCATGGTTGTATATTGTTGTTTTCTTAAGAGCTAGATGTGTGATCCTTTTTGTTGCAGCTGCGGTTACAAGTATCGCAACTGCTATTCCCTGGCTAGCCTTAAGATCACGACGATGGGTTGATGAATGTGTGTACTACTTGGTAATATCGTTTTCCGAAGAACCCGTATCAGTCTTAATTGCTGCCTCAGCGTTCCAAGGAAGATCCCCGAGATCTTGACGAGCACCGTGCCTGGGCAATTCATGTACGACTTGTTGAAGTTGAGGGTCTACCAGAGATCCCAGCCGCTTGCAATACTTTTTGGATCTTTTTGGGCTGTTTGGGTTTTAACTTCTTGGACAGGCAATCCTTCGGGGATGTTGTTCAGCCATTCCTTGCGTGCCCCTGGTATTTGGAAATTGCCAAGTCCGATGCAAGTGGGATTACGTACATTGTCTTAGGCGTTGAGTCTCCCAGTTCAGCCATCCCAAAACTCTTTCTGGTTGTTTCTGAAGTCTCCTTGCATAGAACCAAGAAGGAAGAATTCCAAGATGCTCAGATTACAGGGGAAATGGTTTTTAGGGCATTGCTCAGCACAGCGTGCGTCATATTTCAGCCGTTATAGCTACAGCTACTGCCTGGTCAGCTACTTCCCATCTATGCGGCTGCAACTTTCAAGGGAACCTAGTTTCATTCACCATGAACTCCTAAGGTCGGCTCAGATTTACGGCTGCCAGGCGGCCAAAATCACCCAGCGGGCAAAAATCGAAGTATGGCCGCTTGAGCGCAAGCGATCAGAGTAAAGGTTTGGGGTTCTGGGGGTTTAGGATTCTCGGGCTTGAGTTTAGGGCTCGAGATTGGAGGAATCAGGGTTTGGGGATCAGGCTTTGAGATTTTGAGCGGGGACAACAGTTTGGATTCCAGTGCAGGAAGCTTCCATTTTCCTTTGGCTCCAGCGTGGGGGATGGTTAGATTAGGGTGTCGAGCAAGCTTCCAGAAAGGGTGCAGTTGCTTCACGATCAGTAGTCTTATGTTGTGAGTGTATCAGCCCCCGACCAACCCTGATGCCTACGACCTAATTCCTCTGAACCAATTTCCAACTCCGGGACTTCCGCAGACATTAATTCTGAATCCCATCCCGATCATCGCAGGTTTGGCTGGCGGACTTCCGCTCGCGAGCTGACTTCGAAGTCATTTGGCACGCGCTGGATCCTGTGGTTGTTTTGCAGAGTAGGGGTGGGTTTTAGGTGGCTTTGTTCTTTGCATGAAGTGTCGGGGCTGAGGCATTGATACAGCATATACTTTGCAAAGTAACGAGGACTGTTAGATTGCCGTTTTTTGCTTTTCATCGTCCTGAGCACAGGGGCAAAGTTCGAGCCTAAGAAATTACCCTCGATAGCATTTAGTGAGGCAATACTGGCCCCTGACGCTTCTGATTTCTAAGGCCCACCTTCTCACTAATGCGAAAACCTCCTACCTTCTGACATTGGCTGCTCCCTGAGCTCTTCAGGCATGATGCAGAGAACCTCCGTTGCTTGGGGGCTTCTTGCAATTAGGGTGCGGCGGGGCAACAAAAGGTCACCCTTGGTCGCCTACACCCTGAGCCCTGCATCCGAACCCGGAACCCGAAAGCACCAACACCCTAGAACCAATTCCTAGATCCCACAGCATCCAGCAGGTGTTTGAGAGGCATTCGGCCCACCTTGACCTCCTTGCGAAGTTCGAGGCCGCCATTGAGGCATCCAGTTTCGCAGCAATTCAGTAGCTCGACAGCAGGTCTCAACATGTCTCAACTTCCAGCGTTTAAGGGATTTCGGTTTTCTGGGAGTTTTCAGCGCTTTTGGCAGGCTTTACACAATATAGAGTTTCAGGGTGCTTCAGCAGAGGTGCGCGAGGCTGCAACTTCGGGACCGCGCCATCCCCGCCCTAGCACAAACTCCCTCCGCTTCGTGCACAAGATCTTGATGCAAACGGGGTTGCTTGCACTGAGGAGGCAAAGGAGTGGATCGGGTCATCACGCTCATGTAGGCGGAGTTTTCGGGATGGGCAGAGTTCTGAGGACGATTCATTCTAATGGGGGGTTCTGATTATAAAACCCCCCCTCCCCCCCCCCTAACAAGTAGAGGGGTCAGAATAATCCGGGGGGCCCCCAATCGAGCACGGGAAAACTTGTTTGGGGGGGTCGGATCCCAGAGGAACCCATAAACCCTGAACACTACGCCCTAAGCCCTCTGGC